GAGTTCCCCTTTCCTATTGTGACACTTGTTTTGAATTTTCATCATACATCTTCTGTCATGTGCAGTTTTACTGCATGAACACTGCTTATGGTCTTTTTCTTTCTTTCTTTTTTTTTGGGGGGGGGAGGGCAAAGTACCATTTGCTTGGGAAAAAAATGGATTGTGTCTTGGGAAAAAAATGGAAGTAATTATGCATTTACTTGATTTATTTATCAACAAATCAAGTAAATGCATAATTCAGATTTAATAGGAATTAACATGAGATGAACAAATATTGTCCTGAGAAGTTTTCTTTGGAAAAGAAAGAAATAAAGCAATGCAAACATGTGCTTGCTGGAATAAAATGCTTGTTGACAATGGAATAAAATGAGAAGCGAAAAAAGGACAGAAGATATAAAAAAAAATGGCATTTTTTAGAAATACCCAGAACAGCTTTTAGGATAGCCGCAATGCTGATAGGAAAGCAAAAATCTTTGAATTGTAATGTTGATATTGTATCACTGCCTGATACGCTAGTATAATTCTGCATAAGCAGTTTACCAGATAATAGTATTTGACTTATTGCAAAAAAACAGCTATTTGCCATTTTTGTGATTACTTGCTGAAGCTTAAAATTCTTCATTTTAATGTAGTTCTTCAAAAAAATTATAAATGTTTTGAAAAATCACTTAGTATTAAAAAGTAAGCTGTACAGTTACTTTACTTTGTACACCTTTGCATATATTGTAGTATATTTTACAGTACATATCAGTTAATACTGTCATGCATCTTAAAATTCATTTAATTTTTGTAAAGAAGAATAAATTTAATTACTATTTCTGTCATATTTTGAAAAATAAATGATTGAGATCTGCCTTCTGTAGAAGAGTATGCAGTGGAGTATTTTAAAAATTATGCTGTTCCTGTACTAAAAAAAAAAAGTGTGCTGTAATGGACATAATGTTGGACTTTATTTGAAAAAGGATAAAATGGTGATTCAGCATGAAAAATTGTGACAAGCAAATATCATTTGAAAAATGCTCTAAACATGAATTAAAGGTCCTCTGAATATTTGTACATTATGTAAGTTTTTCATATGCTATTTCTGTTGATTTCTAACTAAATAAAGTGTCATCAACTCCTTCGAAATTTTTCTGAAATTATTTCCTCCAAATTCTATTATTGACAGAAAAGTATGTAAATACTATACTTGGAATTGCAATGGAATTAATACTCATTTTTCAGCAAGTGAGCAGTGAATACTTCCCCCCTCCATTAACTGGCTAATAGTGATATTATTTAACTAGTGAATAAAAATTAGTTACTTGGTTGCACATTTTGTGCATTTGAAAAATAGAATACCTTTGTAAAACAATCCCATAATGATTTAGAAATCTTAATTAAATGGTCAAAATTTTCATCGCCATCATTATTATTATTTTGAATTTTGTTAATGATACTCTTTCATTTTTTTTTAAAAACCATGTCATTGTAATCTTGATTCTTATTTAAAAAGGAATTTTCAAATATTGGATTCAAACTGCAGTGCTAAGTAATTTTAATCTTCTTGATCATCTTAGAAAGGTGATGTTCAACATCTGCTTATTTATATTATCAGAAATACTCATAACTTTTGAAGGTAAGTGGGCACCATGAAAGGGTTCACTGTAGTTGCTAGTGTTGTGTTCAGTCAATACAGTTATTAAGAAATGCATTGTTCAACATATTGATGATTTAATGCTAATATTACTAGAATGACTTCTAAAATTGATTTTGATGATCTGGTTTCCCTAGTGATTTCTAAAGTCCAAATTAATGTAAAAAATTTTTCAGCTAGTAATCACCGATATTGTAAAAAGCTGAGAACTTCATTACATTTAGTAGCATATGAAAACATAAATGCATATCATTTTTGAGAATTTAAATGCTATTTGAAGCAATTTTATAGCATTAAAATATAAGCATTTAAAATAAAAAAAAGCATCTAAACTCGCTTATTATATTATTCTGTAAAAATCCAGAAGTTTCCAGTAAGTTCTGCTGGGTTCAGGTTTGTTATATGATTAAAATTAATGATGTTTTTCACAACAAACTGATATATAGAAAATTAGTTGTGTACAATAAAATTTTACTTTCTTTTCTAAAATATTTTACATTTTTCATTTATTTCTATTATTATTTACACATATTCATTGACTTTCCAGTAGATTATAACATTATTGTACACAGAATTTGATAAAAAATAATTTTCTCATTTTGGTAACTGAATAACTGAATGTGGCTGATATGACATCCATGGCATCCCAAATTTTACATTTATTTTCTGTAATGATGCTCGACTTTCAGTATTTAAAAATGCTCCAGGGGGGATATTCATTATTATTTATCCTGCAGTTATGTTTTTGTGTCACATCTCAAAGAATACCTGGGTATTCATATAGTACAGGCGTTCATGTGTGATAAAATCATTTAAAAATGGTTGAAACTTAAAAAGACCAACTGACATCTTTTGATTAGAGAATAGATTAAAAACTTCAATAAAATATGTAATCAAGTAAGTTTAATTCAGTCATTTGCTTTTAAAATTTTAACATTTACATTAAAAATCATAAAACTGTATCAAAAGTGACATAATTTTTTATAAAAATAAAATCTACAGCATATTTTGAGAGTTGCAGAATCTCTATCAGTAGAAAATGATAATTAGATGATATAAAGACAGTAATGCTGAATTCTGTTAAGGGTTGAGGAGAAAATTTATAGGCAGGTAATCAAGTAAATAAGAACATGCATCTTTTCTTTTTACTGGTTATTAAATTATTTTTCCTGCTAAAAAATTCCTTAATCTACACTTTATGAATGAAATTTTTCTTCACTCGTCTGTTGTATATTGCTTAATGGAAATATTTGTTTCATATTATTACAAAACTGATTATTTGTTATACATTTATATGTAGAATAATACATTTTTTGTGCAAAAAGTTTTATATTTATAATCATTCATAATGTCTTAGGAGCCCTTATTAGAATATGCGATTTTAAAACTTTGTGCCATTTACAGAGAAACTGCTAATTTGATAACAAAGTTTCTCTAATCTTTTATGTGGGAATCTGTACGAAAATAGGAATAAAGATATATTTCTAAATACAAAAAGATTTCCTTTTTGTCAAACTATACAAATAAAACTACTACTGTAGTTAATATTTTTGAGTTTTACTTTCATTGAAAGGCGTGTATGCCTTTATTATATGATTTTTGTTGCTATTTTTTGTCAGTGAACATTAAATTTTCAGAATATATTTTCAAGTTCTTCTGATTGCCTTAAATGCCTGAGTTATTTTCCTTTTGCTAGAATTTTTATTATTTTTGGGTAAATTTTGGAATTGATATTGGATTTTTCTCTTGTTTTATGGGGAGAGTTTTTTTTTTAAGTTATCTGTTATAGTTTACAAGTTTTTTTGGGGGGGGTAGAGGGCATTGATTTGCTTATTCAAATCATGTGAGATGCAATAACTGATGTCAGGAAGGAGTTTCCCATGAATGCCAGTAGTCAGAAACGTAGAATTGATTAGGAGCATGATTGATGCTAATCTAGAGAAGTTGGCTGTAAATGCTACTGATATGAAAATAACTAGTGACAAGTTTATTGGGTCATCCCATAAATAATGCAACTGCCCCAATTTTACTAAAAGTTGGAGAGAGACTGTAAACTAAAAGTTGGAATAAAATGTTTGTATTAACTTGCTATGCCTTGCTCATATTCCTAATGTAAGTTTTGAAAAGTGCAGTTCGATTTTAAGTTATTTTTTAAAGCTAAATGGGAACCATATTCGTCATACTTTGCTTTATTGGTTTAATTAAATAATTATTAAGAGAAATATTAATTTAGTATTTAGGGATTGAATAATAAGCTGAGCCAATATCAACAGTGGTTCCAGAAATTCCAAGTGGGAAACTACAGCCCAGAAGACGAGCCTCTTCTTGGAAAATGTGCAGAATTCAACTGGGATATCTTGCAAATCCTGGTGGAGTAAAATCATTCTTATTGTTAAAAAACTAGCAGAGAAAGGAAACAATATTTTAGATTTAAAAAAATGAACTTTATCTTAATTTTGAAAAACAGAAGTATAAAAAAAGTGTTATTTATGGAATGGCTCGGTATTTTTTATAAAGGTGAAAGAATCAACAGAGAATAAAAATCTGACTTAATTATTAATCTTTCACCTCTGTAGCTATAGATTTATAGCTATTTAAACTTTTCAAACTTTAACGAGAGATATTTAGCCTTTTTTGCTTTCAATTCCTTGAAATATATTATTTATCAATTTTAATGTTTTAAAACATATTCTGTAGGTACTTTCATTATTTCAATCTTATTTCTGATTTTCTTCAACTTTTCTATAATGAATTATGACTTTAAGATATATAGTTTATCCTAATGTGCTTGTAATCATAATTTTTTTTTGTGTCAAAATTTAAAACAGAAATCAACATTTTATATCCTTGCAAAATTGTGTAAAAATGTATGGTACGTATAAATATATTGTTTTGGTTTAGAGAATCATTTTGAAGGAGAAAACATTTCAGACAGTAAAAGTGAATCGTACATTTTAATGAAAACTGGCTTATATTTTAATTCAGAATTTGCAGTATTTCAACTTGTAAAAATGTTTGTGTATGTATGCCATTTAAAAAAATGTTTATTCAAATGTGCATATTTATTTGCAGTTTTAATTTATATATTTTTAGTAATAACTTAAGTATTTATTGTAGTAATATGAATTAGTTGTATTCAGTTATTTAAGAATTTTATTTTATTATAGGCTAGAGAAATATTACATTTTAGTTTTATATCAATTTATAATTTTTTATGTGTAGCGAATTGCCATATATGCTCTTTTTAATGAAATCTGATATATTATTTTAGACATTTCATTACTTTTGATGTCTCTATTATATTAAAAAATATCAACATATTTTATATATTTATACAATAGAGATTCATTTCTTATTTTCATAGTTCTAATAGGTGGAGTACAGTTGTACCAGTATCAAAATCTCTTCTCATCATTTGATTTAAAGTCAAGGAATAGGAATAATATTCTGCGCTGGAGAAGTGGTCCAGTGAAACGACATCGTTGTAGTCTTTGCCCTTATTCAACAAATAATTCAAGCCATTTGCAAATTCATCTGGTGACACATACAGGAGAAAGACCCCATAAATGCACAAAATGTGGTAAAACGTTTTCTCAGCGTAGTAGCTTGAGACGACATATCATGTGCCATATTGATCTTTCAATTGCACTCTAAATGGAACAAATATCTATGCAAAAGATCACATTCCTATATGTATCACATTATGAATTTTCTAGAGAGACATCTAATGTCGACTTATGTGTATGTATGTTGTTAGTAGATTTTAATGTGATGTAAGTTATTCTCTGCTTAAAGCAGCTTTTCTCCAATTTTTATACTGTTTAAAATATATTTAATTCTTTGCTAAAAGCAATTTTCTGTTCTTGTTGCTTTACAAGAATTTTAATCTGGCACTGTAAAAATTAGCTATCATTTTGATATCAGGGTTCTTGTAATAGGGTAAAAGTAGACTGTGATTATTGTTGATAGATTTAGAATAGCATTTATGTAAATTATGCATCCATTTTTAAAGTTTGGTGATGTATTTGCAGTAAAATCAGGACAAATCATATTGTATTTTCCCCCAGCTGAAATAAATACCTGTTCATTTCATGGGGTTAACATGAAATGCAGATTATCTAGGTTTTTAAAAATTAGTATACTAAGTTAAATAATGGCCTTTAAACATGAAAATAAATAATGATTTATATTTTAAATTGTGAATAATTTTTGAATGACAACTCTTAAAATGACGGTGTATTTGAATATTTTTTAATTCCTAAGATAAAAACTAAAACTGAATAAAATAAGAAAAATTAATTTTTATTTGACTTGAACTATAAAAAAGATACAGCACATAAAAATCAAAAATTATAAATATAATTTAATACAAAGTCAGATGTCTATGGACATGTCCCTAAATTATAACTTCATCATACTGAAACAACAGTTTAGAAATAGATCATAAATAGTAAACAATATTTTACAAAAGCTTGATTAAACAATTTGCTAGATTAAAGTAATTATATAAATTTAAATGATTTCCCATGTTTAAGGACAACTTTGTTTTTCCTTAATTTGTTTGTAGCAAAGTGCTCTAATGTAGAAAATGAGCATTGCATTATTAATTAAAAAAAAAAAAAAAAAAAAAGAATGATAGGATAACTACCTAGCTTGATCTTTGCAGTGAAACGGAATCAAACATGAATTCAGTAATTTAATCTTGAATACATTTAACTATGCAATCTCAGTGTAGAAATTCCAAGATGTTTATTGTTTTGTATGAAAAATTTTTAAACACTTTTGTGATGTCAGATTTAATCATGAGGATGATATGAACTGTGTTAAAAAGGAAAAAGAAATCTAAAAACTGTTTTCAACTCAGTACTTACAGAAAGCAAAGCATATTAAATCAAACGTTTAGAGTGTGCATTGGCATTTTATGAATGATGGTTGTAATGATTAAAGTGATAATGCATCCAAACTTATTTGAAATTTAATTCATTTTTAAACATTATCTCTGGAACGTGCAATACTTCTGTGTGAGACTATGCTACCTGATGTTAGCGCTTTTTTTAGTGATAATTTTACATTTTTATTGAATTTTTATTATACAAAGAGAAACATTAAGTCACCATAAAATGTTTTCTCCATCATAAATTTATTATCACAAATATTTTGTATTACTGTGGCCTATGGCAATATGCTTAACTAGTTTAGTCTTATAATACCAGATTTTTTAATGATCTCTCATATTTTCAAATGCCAATTTTATGAAAATTTTGATCTATGTAACTTTTATGATACATATGAAAAATACCTTTGTAATAATAGTACATTTAATGTGAATAAAAAATTGAAAATAGATTATTTGTTTTATATATTTACATCAGAATGCAATGCATTTGTAATTAGGCACCTTGTACAGTTTCTTCTTAAAAGACAGCAAGGCTTTTCGTTACCCTGCTTTAAATAAAATACTTATATGTCACCACCATTTCTCATATCTAATGAATTCTTTCCTAATTCCCAATTTTTCAAGCCAGTTAGCCACATCATCTGTCATGGTAGAGGGGCCACAAACATAGCATAATGTTTTCCCAGTTTCAAGTTTTCGCACAGATTCTATGACATCAGATTCTTCTATTCGAGAATCTGAAACATGTCATTACAGTTAGTTCATTACTCTTCAATATGACTATCTAATATATATTAAAGAAAAATACAGCAGTAATAACTCACATTTTATACCTGGTTTTGGATGCTTTTCCACTTCCCTTGTAACAAAATACTCGCATGTCAAAGTTGGATGCTCAATTTCCATAACTGTAAATGTATCCTAAAAAATTGGAATAAATAATTTAAATAAAATATGTGATGATTATATATAGAAAATACTAACAATTCTGAAGAGTTATATGCATTATAAATACACTGCAGAGTAGAGCTATGCCAAGAGTGTAAGGAATGAGCCACTTGCTTCAAGTTAAAAAGTGAGTGTAAACTGCAATAAATAGTACATTAAAATGTAATAATTATTAGCATAAAAATCTTATAAAAGTAGTTAGAAGGCAATATTTTGAGATTTACCCAGATGTTAAGCTCTATCAACATGGCTTTATCTAAATCCTTTTACAAGAAAAAACCTTTACTTTGTGAGCCTAAGGATTCAACAGGGAAACCTTTTTTTTAACATTCTGCAAGATGAAATCAACAAAAATAAATTTACTAGAAAAGTCGCTTTAAATGAAACTAGACTAAACTGTAGAGAAAAAGAAAAAGGAGAAAAATCAATCAATGAAGAAAATTTAATAAATACAACAATTAAGGTATCAGGAGTATTTTATTCACTTATGTTTTTAAAAGAAAGCATGTGGCATCAGCAAATGCAGGGAAGGTGAAAAATAATAAGATTATTTTTTTTATTACTGTGATTACATTACTATTCATTTACTTATATTACTTAAACATACAAGTTTAGCTATTGCAGTTTTAAAATAGGACATTTTTTCTTAAGTTATTTTTAATATGGAGTCCTAGAACCCAAGATATGTTTGTTTATGAGAAACGTTACTGAAATATTTTAACTCAACATGAATTTAGTAAAATAGTTTGATTAAAGACAACTGCTTCAAATTAGTTAATTGCATGGTTAGGGCTTCAAAATTTAAATATTTTTTTAATGGCATTGTAATTATCAAAGATTTCAGTAATCCTTTTTTTTTTTTTTAATGTATAAAGTACAACAAACTTGATCTTTTGGAAATATAAAGCTTATTTTTAATGAATAACAAGAAACCTATGATATACATTTCTTGCAAGGTACAGTTTTATCAGATACTGAGGAGCAAACCAAAGGCAGGTTAAGCGGCTGGCAAATCTGGCCACCGCCAGGGGCCCCGTGAGCACACGGTCATCTGGAAATACAAGCTTTTTCTATTTAAAAAAATATCAATTAAAATTGCTTATTACAATTAGCTCATAAAATAGTGTATTCATTAGTCCATTTTAATAATTACCATAAAAGTAACAAATCATAAGAGATGTGACACTTTAAATTTTGTCACATTCTACCGTATTTTTTCCTGTTCTTAGAAATTATGTATTGAAACATCCCGAAAACAACTACACCTTTAGTGTCAAGGTATTTTGTGCTCCAATAGGAGGACCACCTTACAGAAAATAATTACCAGTGATGTGCTTATTTGTTTATTTTTCAAGAAGTGCTGGTTAGTTTCAGATACTTTCCGGAAGTGGAGGCTGTGAAAAGATTCTTTCGTTTGAATAAAGATCTTTTACTGACAACTGTGGATGAGCCGTTCAGTTTCAAACACCTTTCTCATTTTCTAGGTAAATTTGTCGGCACTATACACAGAAGTTGTCAATGACTGTTATAAATCAAACCTCTGCCATACAGCTCTAATATTTTAAACAATGCTTGCTCTTTCAGTATTCAGATTCACTTCTTCAGTGTAGCTTCAGTAAGTTTAATTTGAGAAATGTTCCTCAAAAAAAAAAAAAAAAAAATTGGTATTCCTATGCCCTCATTTGTAAATTTGGTAAGTATAATTTTTAATAAAAATTTGAATAATATAATGTTATTTATAATGTCATTTATGTTATTTTATAATAATGTTTGCAATTAAATGGCATTTAAGTTTGATAATAATTTTAAAAATTACCATATTATGAAGATTAGTTAGAATTTTAAAATTACAATATTTTGAATGAAAATAAATGTTCTCAAACATTCTTTAATTTAGCTTCATTTAATAATAGTAGAAAATTCTTTCTGGTACTTATATTTTAATTTTGCATAAAATGCAATTTGGAATAAAACAGTAAAACTTTCAGGGAAAAAAGTACCTGTAGTGGAGGCCACATCTTTGTTTTAAAAAAATGTGCAGATAGGAAACGATACTCATGATAATAATTTGGAACACCATTTTACAGAGAGTCAATGCCACCAGCAAATCACTACAATCAACTCAATGCAACCTATTTAAAGGAGCTGATTTGTTAAAATCTTTGGAAAATTTTATTGCAGGTTTCTGTCATGAAATTTTTAACATATAAAAAGAAGCAACATCTTTGGCATTTGAAGAATGGAATCGCAGGCCACAAAAAAGGAAACATTTTTTGATGAGAGTATTGAATCTAAATCACTCTCATAGAGCAAAGATTTTACTTTTAATTCTTTTTAACATTATTTTAGACAACAGAACTTGCTCATAGAAATAAAGTATTAAAAAATAATATAGAAAATTTTAAATTTGTCGAATTTAGAACAAAAAGTTTGTATAGAAAAATTAAGAGATTTATAAGATGATATAAGTGTTACAGAATTTGATGATGAGGTATGGCAGTTTTTATTATTTTTAAAAGAAGATGACTAATCTGCCACATAAGTATATCATGCTGCCCACGAAATGTCATCAACTTTTTCTAAGGTAGAAATTATTTTGAAATTTTTTTTTACCATTCCAGTTCCCATTGCATCAGGAGAAAGATCTTTTTCTATTTAAAATGTACAATGTCAGAAGAAAGATTAAGCAGTACGTCTACGTTATATATGGAATGAGAAGTGTTAAATAATATCGATACCTCGAAAATAACTGATGAATTTGCTAGAACAAAATCAAGAAAAATTTTACTAAACTTTCTGCTTAATAGCTATTTAATTTAATAATAAATTATCTTAATTTTAAAATATTTCAACCGATCATGCTATATGCAGTGCCGACCTGGGCAATCGCCAATAAAACTAAGTGCAAAAACCTGGATATATTTCAAAATAAAATTCTATGAAGCATTGTGAATGCACCTTGGTATGTGAGAAACTCTATAATTCATAACGACCTGGATATTCCATCTCTGCATAACTTTATACTCATGGCAACTCACAATTTCTTCGAGAAGATGAAGCATAGTCAGTATAATGCAATTAAACAAATGTTGGATTATGATCCAACCATGGTATACACTGTCAAACGCCCAAAGACAATTCATCATAATTCGTCACGGTGGTAACTTGTACATTTTAATTTTAAAATTTACTTGAACTCTGAATGTTTTTCGCACTGACCACAGGTCATGAACTTTGCTTAATTTTCTCTGATAGAGAAATTGGATTCTATCCCATTATTTGTGTTGCATTTTATGCTTATGTTAATCAAAAACCTTTTTTTTTCCAAGATTTTTATGCTACTATTTCATTTAAAAATGATTTTGTATGAATTTTTACTTTATCATATGATTCTATGAACTTTTGAACTTTTTACGACCTATCTAGCTACTGCATACTTCTGAAGGATTTTGAACTCTTTTGTCATTCACAGCTTTGAACTGTCTTCATGCCATTTTCATGATGTCTCACTACTGCTTATCCTGCACTCTTACTAGCTATATTGCACTCACCATCTACATTTGCCATATAACTCACTGCACCTGCCTGCATGCTTCAATTTAATGCCATTGCCCCTTGTAAATACTTTTCAAGGGGCTCCAACAATTTTACTGCCAGGTGCTCTGAACTGGTTTAACCTGCCCCTGAGCAGATACAAATCTGGAAAAATTTATACAATTTTACAAAATGAATAAATTGGTGAAAAAATTCTACTTTCAACTAAAAGGCTACGTCAACAATGGATAACACTATGAAATCTTATTGTGATGGCATGCATTCATTCTGTGTATTGCCATTGAACAGAAACAAAGCATTACCATAATTTTGAAATTTATAGAGAGTTTTTTTTTTAAATTAATTTTACTCTACAAGACAACATACACGAGAAGGAAATTTAATTAAAAATATAACAAAATAATCCTGTGATATTTCTTAATAAAGAAAGATACCTTAATTTATAAGAAATGAGACAAAATTGTGCAAAAATTCTACCAGATTTGCATGAGGACAGATACGGTATTTTATATGATGTGGGAAGAAAGGGGGAGGGAACCTCTTCAACACAGCAAAGCCAAAGACAATTAACTTAAAACAAAATTTGGTATTGAAATAATTAAAAAATACAATTTAAATTTAATTAAAAATCATCCATAGACTTTGTAACATAAGATTAGATCTTAATTCATAGGATTAAGATTACATCACACAGGAATGCCCTGTACTCAGTTAATTAACTAAAATAAGAAATTATTCATGCAATGAAAGATATAAATTCTGATACAGTAAAAACTGAAATCATTGCTGCTAGAACCTGAATCACAATAACTGCTGAAAGTAAACACTTTCAAAACCTTGAAATTAAATACACTAAAATTCGTTTTAAATTGTTAAAATTGATTTAATTTAATTACTTCTTGTGTCTTTTAAATTGCACTTCTATTTTTATCATGCTATTTAAGTCAATCTGCAGTGTAAGAGAAATAGTACAATATCAATTTATAACTTAATAAATATACATGAATATATATATATATATATATGAAATATTTACAAAACAGTAATACGATTTTGCTACCAACTGCAGCCAAAATAGTTCTGCTACATATTTAAAAAATATAAATGCATAAGAATTAGGATGTGGCAATGGAATAATGTTTTTTCTAACTGCTACATACCATACAGAACACAGTCTCTCATTATCAGAGGTTTGACCATGCTATATTTACACTGTTGTGTAATAAGGATTTGTAATCGATTAAATGAACACAAAGCCACACAAAGCTTGATAAAATTTATTTACCTAAAAGAAACACTTTACAATTCTGGAACTTTTCACAAAAGTAGTCATACAGCTGTTCTCAGTAAAACAAAGCATAATCAGCAATTACCAATTCAAATCACTAAGAACATTAAGCACGATGCAATGCAAAGTA